CTGCCCGTTTCCCTGGAGTTCCATTCCTGAGTGCTCCCCCAGAGTAGGTGTCGACCCAGGCCTCCTTATGGTTCCTGCAGCAGGTCGTGCTGCGCCTCCGCCTCCGCCTCCGTCCCCGTCCCCCGGTCTCCTCGTTTGTTCGTGTTCCGTGTTTTCGGCATGGACTGCCAGCTCCTGTTGGGGCCACGTGGCTCTGCGCTGGGTGGCTGTGCCTGGCTGGTGGATGGGGCGTTTTCACGGCACAGGTGGTGCGGCCGAGGCGTCCTGTGCTCACGTGCCTGAGTGAGCATTTCCATGGGACTGGTTCCTGAAGTGGAATTGTTGGCCTCACACAGGCATTAAACTTACTTGTTAGGGTTGAACTCGGTATGCTCAGCTTGTACCTGGAAGCAGAATCACAGGAAATATCCGTTGTGTGTCAGGAGTGATCATTCTTTCATATTCCAAGCCTCTGAGCCAGGGCAAAGCATGTGTTTTTATGTGACCATTGAAACGTTCCTCCATCGTAATACGGCAAGAATATATTTTAGGATTAGCACTGAATTTAAAAAACAAATTCAAAATAGATGTTTATTGAAGGATGGAGTCTCGTCCCTGAAGCAGTAGGATTTGCTTTAGCCCCTGGCCTCCCTGTGGCTCTGGAGTGGTACCTGGTCTTGTTGACACTGGTGGAACCGCTCCTGGTGCGAAGGGCGTGGCTGTCAGTGGAGAAACGGCATTGCAGCAGCGGCTGAGCGCCTCTTCCTGGCAGGCAGGGCGGCAGGTTGCATAGCCAGTGTTCCTACGGGGAGGACTGAGGCCTGCTCTGTCCTCTCTTGCTCTCTTTACCTGAAGTGAAATATTTTTTGATAAGCTTTTCATTTTGTGGTGCTCAGTTGAATGCGGAATTGAAAAGTTGGCATGAGAGGTCCTGTGTGTCTCAGCCACGTTCCCTGGCCGATGCTCCCCTCACCGGGAACGGCTCTCACAGCTGTGACGGTGACTGGGGACTTGACTGTTCGCTCCAGCTTCCATTTGGATGTCCTGGTTTTTCAGTGACTGTCCCCTGCTGCCTCCGGATCCCACCTTGCGTTTAACCATCGTGTCTCTGTCTCTCAGGCTTCCCTTGTGTTTTTGGGACCTTGATGGTCGGAAGAGGACCGACTGGTCAGGATTTTGTTGGATGTCTCTTCATTGGGGCACGGGTTTTGGGAAGAAAGCCCAGAGGTGAGGTGTGTGTCATCTCGGGGAGCTGGATGCACACCTGCCTGCTGCGTGCTGCTGGCTGTGGTCCCCGGGCTGCAGAGCAGACAAGTTGGTTCCACAGGGAGCTGCTTCTCCCCTTTCTGAGTTCTGTCCACACGGTTTATATTTGAAAACCCTCATTTCATATTTGTCATTTTGTGGTTAAATCCTTGTTGGAAAGTGATAGTCATGAGGCCTTTGGATATAATTTTATTTCCTCCCAGTAAAGAGTGGTCCCATTGTCCTTAATGGGCATCTAAATTGTGCAGAGCAAGGAGACGGGGCGCTGGATGCCCACAAATGCCAAGACAGCCAGGAGCCAGAACAGTGAGGAACCCACAGCGCTCCCTCAGAGGCCTCTCCCGGACCCCGCGTCCACACAGCCCTATGACCACCCACACCCTCTCCCTGACTGGCTTCTCCATGTTGCTGTCTCCCAGACATGTGATGCCTGACTCTTCCTCACGTGTGCCCAGGAGCTTTCTGTCTGTCTCCCATATCTACCCAGGAGGACACAAGCTGCTTATCACTCCCCATGTGTGCCCAGGAGGACACAAGCTGCCTCAGTCCCCACAGGTGCCCAGGAGCACACAAGCTGCCTGTTGGTCCCCACGCGTGTGCCCAGGAGGACATGAGCTTCCTGTCTGTCCCCATGTGTGCCCAGGAGGACACGAGCTTCCTGTCCATCCCCCATGTGTGCCCAGGGGGACACAAGCTGCATATCTGTTCCCCATGTGTGCCTAGGAGGACATCAGCATGCGTCCCGCACATGTGCCAAGGAGGACACGCACTTCCTGTCCATCCCGCATGTGTGCCCAGGAGAACACGAACTGCCTGTCCGACTCCACATGTGCCTAGAAGGCCACGAGCTGCCTGTCTGTCCCCCATGTGTGCCCAAGAGGCATGAAGCTATTCCTGCCGTGTCCCCAGAGCTGCATGCATGGCACGCAGGAGGCCGTTGTTGCAGATAAACAGGAGTTTAGCCTGTGTACATTAATCACACAAACTTGGTTAGCACGAGTGTATTTCTGCAAGAGAACCTCTTTCTGGTGAGCAGAGGGAGCTAGTGATAGAGCCCATGAGCATGGGCTGTGCCAGGGCCCAATGAGGTTAGCAGGGAAGCGAGTGCTGCATGGCCAGGTGTCCAACAGGGAGAGAGCTCTGGACTGTGAATCCCTCTGGGAGACGGGCGAGGGGTCCTGGTCTTCTTTACCCCAGAATTTCCAGCACACCTACAGGAAGAGGGACTTCACTCCAGCACTTCCCATACACCTACAGGAACAGGGCCTCACCCCAGCACTTCCCATACACCTACAGGAAGAGGGCCTCACCCCAGCACTTCCTATACACCTACAGGAACAGGGCCTCACCCCAGCACTTCCCATACACCTACAGGAACAGGGCCTCACCCCAGCACTTCCCATACACCTACGGGAACAGGGCCTCACCCCAGCACTTCCTATACACCTACAGGAAGAGGGCCTCACCCCAGCACTTCCTATACACCTACAGGAACAGGGCCTCACCCCAGCACTTCCCATACACCTACAGGAAGAGGGCCTCACCCCAGCACTTCCTATACACCTACAGGAACAGGGCCTCACCCCAGCACTTCCCATACACCTACAGGAACAGGGCCTCACCCCAGCACTTCCTATACACCTACAGGAAGAGGGCCTCACCCCAGCACTTCCCATACACCTACAGGAACAGGGCCTCACCCCAGCACTTCCCATACACCTACAGGAACGGGGCCTCACCCCAGCACTTCCTATACACCTACAGGAACAGGGCTCACCCGAGCACTTCCTATACATCTACAGGAACAGGGCCTCACCCCAGCACTTCCCATACACCTACAGGAAGAGGGCCTCACCCCAGCACTTCCTATACACCTATGGGAACAGGGCCTCACCCCAGCACTTCCTATACACCTACAGGAACAGGGGCTTCACCTCAGTGCTTCCTATGCACCTACAGGAAGAGGGCCTCACCCCAGCACTTCCCATACACCTACAGGAAGAGGGCCTCACCCCAGCACTTCCTATACACCTACGGGAACAGGGCCTCACCCCAGCACTTCCTATACACCTACAGGAACAGGGGCTTCACCTCAGTGCTTCCTATGCACCTACAGGAACACATGGTTGCCATCTCGTACCATGGGGCTTCTCAGGGTTCTTCTCAGGACACTCTGTCTGGGGAAGGCCAGCCTGGGACTCCTGGCAGCCACCGGCCTGGTGGGGGTTTCCTTCCCTCAGTGACCTCTGCACACTTTTTGTTTGCCCATAAGGACAGGGGTCCCTCCTTTCCAGGCCCTGGCCTGTGTCACTTTCTCCAGAGGTGAGGCCGGGGTGCTCTGCTGTACTCACACAGGATGGCTCCTCTCACGGGGTAAAGGCCACTTGTGACATGCCCCCGTGAAAAACAGGGTAAAGTGTGCAGAAAGACAAAGTGTGTTTTGCTCTTTAGAAAAGAGCGGTTGAACTCATGCCAAGCCAGCTGCTCAGGTTGGGGTGCAGCCTTCAGAGATCTGAGGGTCCTGAGTCCCTAACCCTCCAAGCAGCACCCTGCGTGGCTGCGTCCCTTTTTGCTGCCATTAGCTGTGGAGCGCTGACTGGCTTGTGCTCTCCAGGCCTGAGATGGGGACCAGGTGAGGACCTTCTTGGGTCCTTTGAAATGCAAGGCAGCAAAGCACAGCAGATGCAGGGCTTAATTCAGAACCTCCTGGCACCCTGCCTGGCACCAGGTCATTGGGCGTCCATGGCACAGGCGGGACGGGTGCCTGGTCTGCACGGCACAGGAGTCCTGGCAGCCTTAGCACGCGCACTTTGCCTGAGTCCACGTCAGACACGCCCGGGCTTCCTGTCCACTCGGTGTTTCCTGAAAACCACTGCCCAGGGCGCTGGTGCTGGCCGGGCCCTGCAGGCGGCCGCGTCTCCTCAGCTGGCATCTCCACTCCACGAGCAGCCAGGCCTGCCTCGTGCTTGTTAGCTGCCATCACTGTGGAGTGTTTCTTACCCCCAGACACCTTCGGCCACTTCAGGCATGCGGGTGGTTTTGGGGTGGCAGTGCCCTGCCCAGGCCCATCCTCTCTCCCCTCAGGGGCCGCAGCGGTGAGCAGAGGGCTGAGGAGACACCGGATGCAGAGTGGGGGGGGGCTTTCATGGTGGTTTGGAATCAGTTTGCTTCCTGTTTTATGGTAGGGTGCTTTTGAATTCCAGCCGTTGCATGTAGGAGCGTTTGAAGTGTATTGGCAGAGGGGTTTCCAAATAACTTAGACCTGAGGCTCAGCTTTGTCTCATTCATTTGTTTGACCAAGTAGCCTGCAGTTCACTGGCCTGCCTTTAGTGTGGACAAGGAGAAAGAAGTCATGGGCACATGTGGCACAAGTGAGACCCTTTAAAATGACTGAAAACCCACCTGCCCCGGCTTTGAGGATGCAGCCGGTTTTTCGTGGCAGAAACTGTTAGGAGTCTCGGAGTGGTATCTCCTGTGGGGATCTCCTGAGTGAGGGGCCGCACCTGTAATTCTGGGGACCTCATGGTGAGGGCCAGGGTAGGGGCAGGCCCCAGCTAGACATCCTTGACCCCTTGGTTTGGAAATGAAGAAACCGAGGCTGAGCACAGTCCAGGACTGGATTAGGAAGTGTCTGGGGATGGGGCACAGATGGAGCCCCTGGGGAGAGCTGGTTCTCAGGAACGCAGTGGGGAAGCTGCGGTCGGGTTGAGTGGTGCTCCTGCCCTGACTGTGGCCTCTCTGACCCCACCCTGCAGGTCTACATCGGCGAGCTCCCGCAGGACTTCCTCCGCATCACGCCCACTCAGCAGCAGCGGCAAGTCCAGCTGGATGCGCAGGCGGCCCAGCAGCTGCAGTACGGAGGCGCCATGGGCACCGTGGGCCGACTAAACATCACCGTGGTCCAGGTGGGCCTTGGGCACCCCCTGCCTGCCCGGGGCTGGCGTGCTTAGGTGGGGTGGGACTGAGGGTTTCTGCGTTTATACTGCATTTCCTAAGTGAGCAAATGGAGCTTCTGATTCCAAGTTTTTCTGTGAAACGTGTGTGATGTGAAAAATGACACACATGAAAAATATTGGCCCCGGTTCTGCCGAACATGACTAAAATGGCCAGTCGGGGTGCAGAGGGCGTATGCTCTGTGTGGATCCGGCTTCTCCACCAGATGCCTGCACCCTCCCCTCCTCACAGAGCAGCTCTCCGTCAGCCTCAGAGCTGGACATCTGCCGCCAGGACGCAGCCAGCGGTCACTTAGTGGACTTTCAAGTGAAAACCAAAATCCATGGGCAGACTGAACACCGATCTTGATCACACCAAAACATTCTGTAAGGCCGCAGGAAAAGGAGACACATTGCGGGCCACGCAGGCTTTTGTAGAGACCCACAACAGAGCAGGCAGAAGTGTCTGTGGACCTCACAAGTAAGGGACTGAGCAGTGCCGTCAGCCTGTGGGTCTGTAGCCTTGCGCCCTTCCTCACAGCGCCTCTTTGACCCTTGCCAGTGCAGGCGTTTCTGTGCTGCTACGGCACATCCCTCTGCCCACCCAGTGAACTGCAAGGCCATGCGTTCCTGCCCCAGCTGCCACCAGGTGCCATCACCCGCATTCAGCTGCCACCTCCTGGCAGGGCCTGGTGACCACAGGGCACTCCGCCTCACACAGTTCAAGACCCAGGGCTGGCTGGGCCTTGGAGGTGGCCCTGGCATTGCCCACACCTCTGGTCCCCCTTGGTCCCCCGTCGCACCTTGGAGCCCACCACAGACAGCCTGTCTGCTCCCTCCACACAAGCTCACCCAGCCGTCGTGGGCAGCTCCAGCGGTGGGAACAGCTCCCTCCGCAAAAGCTCACCCAGCTGTCTGTGGGCAGCTCCAGAGGTGGGAACGTTCCTGCCTCCTTACTGGGCCACGTCACTCAGCCCACTGTTCCCTGCTTCTCTGGGCTTCTGGGAGGTCATACATGGGGTTCTGTTTGCCTCTCCTGGCTGCTTCCCCTGGTCGTCTCCTGGCCTGTAATGGGGCACCAAGGGGTCTGGTCCTTAGCCCACCCTCCCCTCTGCCCACACACCCCAGGGTGATGCATCCCTGTGGATCTAAATACCCACGTGCTGGCCCCTGCCTGAGCCGCCGCTCAGCTCTGCCCCATATTCCTGGGTACAGACCATGGCCGCATGGCCTCCCCAGTGTCCAGTGGGCATGCCGGACTCCATGTGCCCAAGGCGAGCTCTCAAGCCGCCCTCCCCAACCCAGCGTCTGCAGGTGGCGGCTCCACACTCGAAGCTGAGCCCAAAGCCCTGGTGCCCCATGGTTCATCTCTGCTGACCCTCAGCACAGGTGCCACCTCCAGCCGGTCCAGGCAGGGATCCCCACACCCACCCACTGCCTCCGCTCAGCCACTGGAGTGTGACCAGAGCAGGTCACTTCCTGCACAGGCCTTCCTTGTGGGCACTGTTCTGCTGAGCCTTCTCAAACTAGGGCCTGTTCTTTGCCTCTCCCCAGTCGCTCCTGCCTTTGCTGCTCCCTGGGTTATTTTCCCGCTGCCTGCAGCTCCTCCTCCAGCTCCTGCGCCCACACGTTTACTCAGTTCTCCTGGCCAGCCACCCCTGCAGTGGCAGCACCGTCTGCTGTGCTGTGTGCCTGGTGTGCGTCTCTTGCCTGTTGTGGGGGAAGCAGCGGTGCCTTTGTGTCCCCACAGTGTCTGCCACACCAGAACAGCGTGCGGTTGTGTGCAGTCACAGAGAATGGGAGGATGCCCCTGTAACATTCGTGAGGCCACTTCAGCAGAGCAGTCAGTGCACAGAATGCCCCCTACACTTTTCCATCCACGTCACAGAGGGCAATGGGAAGACACAGGAATGGCAGGACCCAGTGTGAGCAGGCGTCAGTGACGGGCACGGGGACACTGGCGGGGGAGTCCCATGTGCCACCCAGAAAGCTGGCTTTGCTCAAAGCCTTTACAGTTACCAGTAAAAACAAAAGTGTTAGCAGCTAGGCGGAACAGCAGGGCTACTGGGAAGCTTTGGAAAGTCACTCTGGTCTCAATACTTTCCAGAAAACAGGGCAGTTTCTAAGGAGTTGAGGGGGGCAGAGTTTTAGTGTAAGAGCTGACAGAGTGGATTTATGGGTGTGAAACTGGAAGCTATAAAGGCTGAACACGCCTGTCGCCCGGGAGCTTCCGAAAACCTGTCACTCCATAGGATTCCGCAGTACGCTTCGGCCACCCAGGAAACCCTAAAATTAAGGACCCAAGAATGGGACAGTTTTGACATAAAAGCACTGGCCACAGCTTTGCTTAGAAGTGAAAGAAACAACCTGTATGTGGATGAGGACAGAAAACAGGACCCAGCAGTCCAGAGATGAGGGCACAGGATGGGAGAGCTCAGCTGTGCCCTCAGAGGGGGTTCAGCCAGGACGGGGCGGCCGTGCCCTCAGGGAGGGTTCAGTCAGGATGGGGCGGCCGTGCCCTCAGGGAGGGTTCAGCCAGGATGGGGCGGCCGTGCCCTCAGGGGGAGTTCAGCCAGGATGGGGTGGCCGTGCCCTCAGGGGGGGTTCAAGCAGGACAGGGTGGCCGTGCCCTCATGGGGGTCTATGAGGATGGGGCGGCCATGCCCTCAGAGGGGGTTCAGCCAGGATGGGGCGGCCGTGCCCTCAGGGGGGGTTCAAGCAGGACGGGGTGGCCGTGCCCTCATGGGGGTCTATGAGGATGGGGCGGCTGTGCCCTCATGGGGGTCTATGAGGATGGGGCGGCTGTGCCCTCATGGGGGTCTATGAGGATGGGGCGGCTGTGCCCTCAGGGGGAGTTGGTGAGGACAGGGGGCTGTACCCTCAGAGGGCTCGGGGGACAGTGTCTGGACTCTTGCACCAGGGAGGAAGAACCAGTGGGCTCCCTGTGGCTAACCCTGACATGTAGGGGAGGGAGGGTTGGGATGGCTCCCGAGGTCTCTGTCACTGACTGCTGGGGTGAGCTGGGTTGGCCTCAGGAGAACAGGTGGCAACAGTGCAGGAAGGCCATCTGCATTCCAGGGAGGATGCTTTCCCGGCAGCCAGGGCTGCAGGCTGCACCCGACCCAGCTCACCAGGCTTTTCTCCTGGTTTTTCTTGAGAAAGTTTTACAGTTCTAGGTTTTGTATTTGAACCTGTCGTAGACACTGAGTTGCTGTCTGCTGAGCAGTCACCTTAACTGCTGTAGTCTTCTGTCAATATCCATTCCGTATGACACATTCACCTGTGACACATGTTCACTCCCACCCCTTGGACCTCAGATGTCCCAGCCCAGCCCAGCCCCAGCCTGAGGTTGGGTCTTGTGGTCTACATGCGACGTGGCTCCTTGTGATGGGGAGACGTGTCCCCCAAACCCCACAGACTCCGAAAGCACAGGCAGGGTGGCTGCCTTCGTGAAGGGAAGAAACCACTGCCACGTGTTGTCTGAATTCCGTGGAGCAGACGTTGCCAGCTCCCCTCCCAGGTCCTCATGCTCCTGGGGATGGCTCACGTTCCCCTTCATGCTTTGTGGCTCTCAGCTGTGTCCTGGGACATCCTCCTCTTTCCCCCCTCAGCCACTTCTGAGGAGGGCGTTAGAGAGCCTGCCCTTCATGGTGGCTGATGGCGGCCTCTGCTGTGTCCGAGTATCGTAGGTATCTCTGTCCAGGACAGGCCCCGAGCTTTATCAGAACTGCACGGTCCCATCTGGGGCTCAGTCTTGTTGCTCCTGGCCTCTGGGGAAGCAGGTCTCAGCCGTGTTCAGGTGACTCTGGGTGGCTGTAGTCTGTGTGTTGGAAAGAGGCCACGTGGAGGGGTTCAGGGAGGCAGATGGCCTAGAGAGGGTCGGCAGCTCCTTTTCCTGACACTGGCTTTGTTTCAGGCAAAGCTGGCCAAGAATTACGGTATGACCCGCATGGACCCCTACTGCCGCCTGCGCCTGGGCTACGCGGTATACGAGACGCCCACGGCGCACAACGGTGCCAAGAGCCCCCGCTGGAACAAGGTCATCCACTGCACGGTGCCCCCGGGCGTGGACTCCTTCTATCTGGAGATCTTCGATGAGGTGAGAGGGGCGCGCCAGCTGTCATGGAGGCCGCACGTGGCTGAGCCTGGCTTCCCTGGGAACATGCCTGCTGACACTGTCACGATGCTGGCCAGCTTCGAGGCGTGGCCCCACACCTGGTGTTTTATTGGGTGCATGACAGGGTCCCACTCTCCCTAAAGAATATGGAAACGAGAGACTGTTTCCAGCTCCTCAAATGCCCTTACGTTTGGAAACATGCCTAGTGACAGGCACTGACCTTCTAGGGATAGCGTGCACGTGAGGGCTCCTTGGGGCGCACCGGGGCTGGCCGCTCATAGCAGTGGGACTCCAGTGAGTCCTGCCGGGTGGGAAAGCTGTTCTTGGTGGTGGGAGTGGCTGTGGCCCTGGAGGGTCCTGGGTCCCTTCTGTGGCTGCACCTGCAGCATTTCTGAGGGAGACTGAGAAGGTCAGAGGGGATGTGGCAGGCCTGTCGCTCAGTGTGATCCTGGCACCTTGCACCTGTGGCCCTGTGAGGATGGAGCTCACGTGGGGGTGGGGAGCAGCGTGGGGCAGCCAGGCCAGCAGACAGCCAGCCCCCCACCCCCGCCGCCTGGGCCCTGCCTTTTCCTACGGGCTTTTCTCTTCCCACTCCCACCCTGTTTTCCCCTCCAGCCCTCAGAAGAGTAGAGAGCGCATGGGAGGTGCAGAGGCCGCTGTGGGAGGCAGGCCCCATGTCCTCTCCAGCCTGCGTCCAGGCTGCTCTGGGGCTTGGGAGGTAGCTGCTGGTGGAGCAAAGATGGGGCCTCAAGGGCTGGGGAGGAGCAGCCAGTGTCCCTGAACTGGACCTGGAGGAGGACAGCAGCCCAGGGCTCTTACCCTGCCCAGCCCTGGCCCTGGCCCTGGCCCATCCTGGTCAGGAGAGGGAAGGAGAGGTCCCCTGCGCCACTGATAATCATGAAGCCTGCGCTGCTGGAGGGCCTCGTTGTGGGAGCGCAGTTCCACCAGTGAGTCGGAGACCCGAGGCGGGCCCACGATGCTGCATCCACAGGGGCAGGCGGCCTCTTCCCTGATGCCCTGGGCCTGTCCCTCTTGTCTCCCCAAGAGAGCCTTCTCCATGGACGACCGCATCGCCTGGACCCACATCACCATCCCCGAGTCCCTGCGGCAGGGCAAGGTGGAGGACAAGTGGTACAGCCTGAGCGGGAGGCAGGGGGACGACAAGGAAGGCATGATCAACCTCGTCATGTCCTACGCGGTGAGCTGGGGGCTGGCATTAGGGCGAGTGCGTCGGGCAGGGCGGAGCATTTCGGGGCATGTTGGGGCACATGGGGGCCATGCTGCACAGTGGATGCCCTTGTTTTTTTCCTGCAGGCGCCAAGCCTGTAAACCAGCAGGGCTAGCATTTTGAGGACAGAGGGCAGGGGCCCTGGGGTGGTTTGGTGGCCAAGAAGGGCTGCCCTGCCCACCATGCCTGCGCATGTGTTCCATCTGGAAAAAGAGGGTTGGGGTTGTTTGGTGGTCTCCCCTGCAGGCCCGTGTCCTCGGAGGCCCCCCACAGCCCTGCCAAGCCCTGCCCTTAGAGTCCAGCTGGGCAGCCCTCCAGGGTCTGAGATACAGCCGTGGGCCCTACAGGTTTCGAGGCGCCGGCCAGGACCTGGCAGGGTGTCTCAGTGGAGATGGGTGGGGGGAGTCCGGGGCCTGCTGCCCTCGGGGTCGGAAATCGAGGCCTGGCCATGCCAGGCAGTGGGGCCAGCACACTAGCCACCCTGGCTCCCAGCTGTCTCTGTTCTCAGCACACCTGCAGCTCCTGGGGGCATCAGGAGGGTCAGTTAGAGGATCCTGGACTTGGGGCTCTGCCGCCACCTCTGTATTCTCACACGGGTTTTTAGGTTGTGGTTGTTGGGATGTGGTGCTGTGGTAAACATCAGGCGGATGTGGGCAGAGGCACAGCAGGGAGAGGCTCTTCTGGGCAGTCTGGGCTCCTCCCACCCCCTTTTTGTTAATGCCGGGATATTTTAAAGCAAGTCCAGCCATGAGTGACCCCTCGTAAATGTCTCATGATGCGTCTTTTAATAGACACTTTTATACAAACATAAAACATCATGGCTCTCCAGGGACTTATCTGCAGTTCACATTTGAACTAAACTCAGAGGTGACAGCAGCCCAGTGTGCTTCCCCCAGGCCGACCTGACGCCTGCACTGGGTGTCCCTCCTGACGCCGCACACTCTCGGTCACATCCCAGTTAGCCGGGGGTGGGGGGTGTCTGTGAGTCTCACCGTGTGATGTCACCTCCCGGATGGGAGGAGGTGGAGTGGGGGCCAGGTGTCCCTGAGGACTGTGCACCCAGGTCTCACATCTGGCCTGAGGGCTGGCACGGCGACGGTGATTCTGGAAGTCACGAGGTTCTGATGTGTGTGGTGTGTTGTGTCCTGACCCCGGAACCGTCTCCGCTGTGTTTCAGCTGTTGCCAGCTGCCATGGTGATGCCGCCCCAGCCCGTGGTCCTGATGCCAACGGTGTACCAGCAGGGCGTCGGCTACGTGCCCATCACAGGTGCGTGTGCTCCCTCTTCCCTAGGTGCCTCTCCCCTGAGAAATTCTGGGGGCAGAGGGCGGGCGCAGGAGGAGGGAAGGGGGTTGAGAACTCTAGAATCCTGCAGACATGCTGACTGTCCGCAGACCCTTCAGCCAAGGAGCCAGGCGCTGGATATCTAGAAAATAGAATCTGTCTTTTCATGCAGGTCCTTCAGGCCAGGGAGCCAGGGGTTAACGTCTGAATTTTGTAAATGTTTATAGAAAATAGAATTGGTCTTTTCCTGTTGGCACAAATGCGTTGAAATTGTCAGAGCTGCGGAAAGGTGACTTTGCAGCCCCGTAGTGCCAGCGCTCTGCAGGAGAAACTCACGCTCCTGTCGGGTGACATGTGCCACGCACTGCGCCGTTGCATGCTTCGTCGCTGTTAGGAGTGAGCAGCCGCAGCAGCACCAAGCTGGGATGTCGCTTTTCATGCTGTTGCGTTTTCAGTCCTGCTGTGGCTGTCGCAGCAGCTGGTGCAAGGCCGGCCCCCACTATGGACGGGCCCAGTTCTCCTCAGTAGGCGGGGAGGCCACATCCCCTGAGAGGAGGTACTTGGTGGGGAGCCTGTGGTCATCCTGGTTCTCCTGCTTCGGTGGCCTCTGTCTTGGTCCAGGGAGCTGGTGTCCAAGCAGAGCACTAGTCCCTCTGCAGTGAGGCATGGAGTCCAGAGGCCAAGGCCATGGAAGTGCCAGGTTTCAGGCAGGGCGTTGGGGATGTGTGGTGCTGTGGGGGAGGGGCAGGGCGTTGGGCATGCGTGGTGGTGTGGGGGAGGGTCTTGGGGCCTGCGTGGGGCCCCAGCTCCCTGTGCTGAGGGGCTGCTTTGGGGTCAGGGCGGGATGAGGGGCTTGCAGGCCAGAGTGCCGGGAAGCCGGCGCTGATGTCCAGCCCTGCTGGAGCGGAGACGCCTGGTCCACACCCCAGTCCCGCAGGCATCCCGCACAGATGCAGAAAGGCCACCCTGGGAGTTGGGACCTGGCCTTAGACCCACCCCAACGTGGCGGGAAATGCAGCCGGACTGTGGGAAGGAGGGCACGGCACTGGGAGACTCAGGCTGTCGAGCATTAGGGATGTTCTCGGTCGTTGGGTACCAGCCCCAGCCCTGTACATGGTGCTTAGTTCCGGTGGTGACCGGGGGGTGAGAAGAAATACACAAAGGCGAGAGTCGAGTTTCACAGCCTGGGTCCAGGGGACCAGCGCAGTGGTGGGTGGCTTTGTCTGTGAGCTCCAGGCTCCACACACTTTTATTAGGTGCATTGTTTCATTAATCTTGCAGGCTGAGCTGAGGGGAGGTGAGGGGTAAACCAAAAGCTAATGTGGGGTAAGACAGCCGGGGGACCGTGCAGCATCCAACAGCACATGTGCTGCTTCTAAGAAACACTAACTTAGGATGCGGAGTTTTGCCACCCATGGTTATCAAGGTGCATCTGCATCGGAGCACAGGAGATGAGGCGCCGCCAGGCCTGACCACACGCAGTGCATCAAGGGGCTTCATCTCCCGAGCATGGCCAGCCCAGAGCTATCAGAGTCACTCCATACTCCGAGAACCTAGGTGGAGCCTGTGGCACTCCGGTTATCTCTGCCCTGCAGGGCCTTCCTGCCTTGCAAGCTCCTATCTGCAGTGACCCTCCCAAGTCTTGTGTATGGAGGTGGCATTCCTTCCCAGAGTTCTTGGACAGGCCCTCTTTACGAGACCCTCACGCAGACCCTGTGTTGGGAAGAAATCGTGGGAGCAAAGCGGCATTCCTGCCTCGCACCCACACCGCGGCGTTCCCCGGTTTTAGAGCTCTCACGTGGCCTCTACTGTCGGCCTCCTGTTACTGCTTAGTTTTTCTTCGTACAGGCCTGAAACAGTTTTTATTGTGCTGCACCATAGTTTGGAGTTTTCTTAACTCAGTATTTGATCCGTGGCACGAATCTCAGTGTATAAAAAGCAAAGCAAGCTTGTAATCATTTACCTAGAATAACGTGGGTCTGCCCCTGCCATCTTGGCCCACACTGTGATGAAACTGCTGGTGAGAACCACATGGCCTCGTCCTCCTTGCTCACATCTGCAGACCCTGCTTCCAGGTAAAGCTGCCTGCAGGTGCCAGGGCTGCCTTTCTCGAGAGGAAGAGCAGAGCCCGTGTCTGAGCGGGGTCTCCGTGGGTGGTGTCCGGCATCTTAGAAAGCCACCAGCCCAGCAGAGGCAGCACCTGCGCCCGGTCACTGAGGAAGGAATGCTTCCTAGGAAGTGAGTGCAGGTGACCCAGAAACACAGGCGTTCAGAGTTAGAGGAGGGCAGGCGTCTGGATAAGCAGAAGAGCAGGGACCTCAGCAGAGAGACGGGAGCGCCCAGGAGCCCCACAGCTGCTCCTGAGACCACAGCATGGCCCTGATGTGCCACATGTGGTCTCCCCTGAGACCACAGGGGAGCTCCGCTGCCCAGGGGCCCTGATGTGCCCTGGGTGCTCCCTGGAGTGGCTCCTGGGGGGCTCAGGTTTGTAACTGGGACAGCGCAGGGCCACCATCATGGGGTCGGAGTGTCTCCTGTGGCCTGCAGTTCCTGGGGCTGATGAGCTGCTATCTCTGATTGGCCTGAGTTGGAGGCAGATGGGTGACCTGAAAGAGACCCAGGCCCTCCGGCTTCCTGAGGCTGGAGGTCCCTGCCCACATGGGCAGGGCTGTTCACTGGCCGAGGCTATGGGAGGATCCTTCTTGTCTCCTCCAACTTCTGGTCCAGGTACTCCGTGGCTGCCTCCTCCCCCTGAGTCTCCTCTTCCCATGAGGACCCCAGTCCGTGGATCGAGGCTCACCCACCCCAGCGTGCCCTCGTCCTCACCCGCTCACATCTGTAGACTCTGGCTGAGACCGCCCGCACAGGCTGCGAGTGGGACTTACTTGGCCTTTTGCGAGGTGCAGTTCCATGGACTGTGGATGCAGCGCTGGGCATACCTGGCTAAGAGAGCACTCAGTTAACAGTGACATTGATGGGCTTACCTCTTTCTGATTCCCAGCCCCCATTCTCTTTGTAAATGCCCTTAAAGTTTGTCCTGAAACGTTTACTTTGGGAAAGGCTAGATTTCTGTATAAACAGACTTTGCAATTTTTTTTTCATGTACATTGTACATTTTGAAACAGCCCCACACTTCATAGGAGAGTTACCAAGGAGATGCAAGAATGTCTGCCAGAGCCCATAGGGACCCGTCCACCTGACACCCCCAGCCCTGCGCCTGGGCGTGTGTTTCCCATAAGCAGGGGTGTCCCATCACAGGACGGCCATCCAGGTGGGAGCTGACGTGGACTTGTTGGTACTGTCCCCTGCTTGGACCCTGTCTGAGTGTCTCAGGGGTCGCAGCGGCCAGTCCAGGGTCACTGGCCCTCCGTGACCTCACCACTTCGGCCTGGAGAAGTCCTCATCTCGCTCCTAGGGTGTGCCCTAGCCAGGGACCTGGTGGGGCTGCCGACGTGGCCTTGCAGGGCAGGGCTGAGTCTTCCCGGACACCACCCAGCACAGGGCTAGTGGTGTGACTTGCTCACCCCTCACGGCGGGATCTGCCTGGCTGCTCCCCTGGAACTAATGAGTGTCCCATGTGGGAGGCACCTCAGGACTCCTCGAAGATCCTGTCCACTTTGCTCAGTGAAAAACCAGAGTCCCCCACAACGCAACTGAGAAACCAGGTGCGCTGAGATCAGGGTGTGACCGCAGCAGTCAGGAAGGGAGGCTGGACACAGAGGCACAGCTGATGATTAAAGCGTGTATCCCAGGCCTCCAGCAGCGCGGACTGACCTCTTCCTATTTTATTCCTCAGGTTAGAATCCCCTATGAACATGGTTTGGTTTTGTTTTTCACTCAAATCCCAGATTTGGCCAGAGGGACTCCCCCCCCCGCCCGCCCGCCAGGTGGGCCATTTGTCCTTTGGCCTAGTCCTGTCCTCTGGGCCCTCCCTGCTTTCTGGCCCTGCGGCAATCCCCGCGCTCTGTGCACTTCCCGCCTCGGCCCGGCGTTAGCTGTTTCTCCAAGGAGCCCTGCTTCCCGCTAGGCGAGCATTGCTTTTAGAAGGCCTTGAAGAACTTTTTACTTATCCTAACAGTACTGTTTAGCGTGTGAATCAGGCACCCTTCTTCACTGGAAGCCGAGGCCTTCATTTTCCTGAGTACCCTAATTTCTGAATCTCTGTGATCACAGCCCATCCTCCCGGAAGCCATTGCCAGCTGAAGGGCGAGGTCTGCAGAGACCTTGGAGAGGCTGGCAGCTGCTGTGGTCAGCACGTCTCAGGTTGACTGGGGAAGCATGGTGGATTTACACCAGGGTTTTCTTCTCAGATGCATCTCGGCCAGGGCATTTGTGTGGCCCACAGCTTCAACTGTCTGTGACTCACGTCACACAGAAACCTGTGCTGTGCGCTCTGCCCTGCTGTGCCGTGCTGGCGGCCTCAGGCCTGCGTGCGCAGAACGGCCTGGACGAGCCCTCTGGTGAAGCGGGGCTGCGGAGTGGGCCAGGTAAAGAGAGCCGGGCCTCTCAGGGCCCTTCCTGCATCTGCCAGCCCCTTCAGCCACTCCTTCATTCAGCTGCCACCTGCTGAGCACTGCCTGGAGACCCTCACGTGGGGCGCAGGCCTTGGGGGCTTCCTGTGCCCTTGGGGTGTGCTCAGGCCCCGAGTTCCTCCGGTGGTGCCTGAGCCCGGCCACCGCCTTTACAGAGAGTGCAGGCGAGAGACTGAGGGCCCAACAGCAGCCGAGCCCTGTCGAGGAAGCCCAGAGCCCCGCAAAGCAGCTGAGACGCTGGGTGCGCCGAGACGAGGGCGTCTCCTTCACAAAAATGAAGTGTGACCGCAGCGGTGAGGAAGGGAGGCTGGACACAAGCACAGCTTGATTATTGAAGTGTTTACGCCATGATCACGGCCTGAAGACCACCGTTTCAGTTTCCATTTTTTTTAAACAAAGGATTGATTACCAAATTAGTTAGATATTTTACAGATTGCAGATAATTAGTGGCAG